TGACATAACGGTTGCCGAAGACGACGAAGCGTTTCTAAACTGCATACCGAAGGTGCCTGAATCGAGCGTGGCGTGGTACGAAGTTGGTTTTTCTGGGTGACGCCCCGTGTGATCAAATGAAACGCTGATGTCTAGAGCAGAATACTTTCAAGCACATTAACACACAACACACACATCCATAAAATGAAAATATATGCCCAATATCGTTACTGTACACTGGGCATGTCTTATGTAAATTAAGTTGTATAAGTATATGTAGAGCTATCCAGCGCTTTCTTGTTTTTTCTACGTTTCAAAGCTTGCAGTGCGCTTCGAGATGATGGCGTTGTCCACTCGGTGAGGAGTGTGCGCGTAGTGCTAATCAATGACCTCAACACAGCGAATACACGCAAGTCCTCGTCGCAGGAATCCTTAGTCGAATGTTGTGTCGTCTCTGAGGACGTGCAGCAGCAGGCCTTCGTCGGTGACGAGAACGTAGTTTTCACTTCATAACAATCTCAGCGGCTTCTTTGTGTGTTGAGTCATCTATTACCATCTGTTTTATTATGCTCCAGTCTTTCTTCACTGCCGGACAGTCCCTTGATGATGATTCATGCGATCTGTGGCAGTTCGGACATTTCAGAATCATTACTCCGCAGTATTTTGAACTGTGGGGCTCCACACATCGGGTGCAAACCTCTGCGTTCGTGCAAGCTCCGCTCACGTGACCAATTTTCTGACACTTGTGGCATTGTAGTGGTTTCAGTGTAAATGGATAAACCACGTGTCGAAGGTGTCCTACCTTCACGTGGAATGACAAAGTGCCGCCATTCCTTTAAAGGGACAATAAAGGCCAATGTTAAGTTTCAAGTTTATTTCGCATTTCCTTTTTACAACAACAACAAGAAAAGAAAACGCATGGGCAAGGAATAAAAGCTGCATAACATCAGCTTGACGAGGTTCCTGTCCCCTTGGCTTGTCGATGTTGATTGCCGAAATAGCGACCCAAAAACCGCTCAGTGCTACCGTTGTGCGAAGGAAGTGCTTATTTTGAATTAAAATTTCGTTTTAATGGCTCGCATCGCAATAGAGCACTTCAAATGCTCCGCCTGAAAGTGGTCTGTTTCACATCACTGTGGCAGTGCACAACGTTGCCCAGATTTACTGCGAGGACGCAGACACTAGCAGCAGCAAAGCGAAAGTAGCGGGAGCCACAGCAGCAACAACGGCCATTGAACAATATTCTGCCATGGCCTCCGAGATGGCGGGCGTGCTTGGTTCAACTGGGGTCCGCTAGATGGCATCACCTATCCAGTTTAACCAGGCGAAAATGGAACTTACGAACCACTCGCGCCATTCCCCATAGTAACTCCCAGCGGTTGTTAGTAACTCCCGTCATAGTAACTCCCAGCGGTTGTTAGTAACTCCCGTCATAGTAACTCCCAGCAGTTTTCATAGAAGTTAGTTTGATAACTAGTGATTAATTGTAGTCGGGCGCTTTCACGTCATCGGGATCACTTCCACAATATCCCACTCATGGAGCCTGTCGTGTGGTACATTTAGATTAAATTCTCGGTATGTAGGGCACTGCTGTTGATAATATTACCGTTTGAGACTTTTTCATACATTGAGCTTTCCCTCTGACATAAATTGTTATTTGCCTTTAGTGTCCTTTAACATCACGCTTTGCAGTGAACTTTATCCAAAACAGTCGAGGTCAATCCAATCTGTGAATGCTCGCAGTTCTACGACCTTCTGGACATGTGCTGCTGTGCATGCTATTGTACAGTTTTCCTCCTTTTCTTTCTGTCTTTATTTATTATTTTCCTCTTATTTCCGCCTTCCCTTATGTAGGGCAATCTGCTTAAGCTCCCTGCCTTTCCTTTTTTTGTCTCTCTCTACGTTTCAAATTCGTTTATTTGCAGACGACTGCGTATTATTCAAAGAAATTTTTCATCTCGATGATCAGGTTGAGTTATATAGCAACCAGTCCATTCAAGTGAGCTCCCCCAATGTCATTTACGTTTAATACATCTCTTTTCCTCCTTCCTCAGCTTTCACCTCTCTCTTGCACGCAGACAGACCGGAAGTGGAAGATGGTAACAACACCATCATGCGCAACAGGACGCTGGTTCCCGGCCCTGAAGCTGATGCATGAGATTCCAGTGACATAACGGTTGCCGAAGACGACGAAGCGTTTCTAAACTGCATACCAAAGGTGCCTGAATCCAGCGTGGCGTGGTACGAAGTTGGTTTTTCTGAGTGACGCCCCGTGTGATCAAATGAAGCGCTGAAGTCTAGCGCAAAATATTTTCAAGCACATTAGCACGCACACACGCGCATCCATAAAATGAAAATATATGTCCAATATCATTACTGTACACTGGGCATGTCTTACGTAAATTAAGTTTGTACAAGTATATCTAGCGCTATCCAGCGCTTTCTTGTTTTTTTCTACGTTTCAAAACTTGCAGTGCGCTTCGAGCTGATGGGGCTGTTCATTCGGTGAGGGGTGTGCGCGTACTGCCAATCAATGACCTCAACACAGCGAATACACCTAAGTCCTCGTCGCAGGGATCCTTAGTCGAATGCTGTGTCGTCTCTGAGGAAGCGCAGCAAAAATTCTTCGTCAGTGACAAGAACATAGTTTTCGCTTCATGACAATCTCAGTAGCTTCTTTGTGTGTTGAGTCGTCTCTTACCACCTGTTTTATTACGCTTCATTATTTCTTCACTGCCGGACAGTCTCTTGACGAAGCTTCATGCGATCTGTGGCAGTTTGGACATTTCAGGATCATTACTCCGCAGTATTCTGCACTATGGGGCTCCACACATCGGGGGCAAACGACTGCGTTCGTGCAAGCACCGCTCACGTGACCAATTTTCTGACACTTGTGGCACTGCAGTGGTTTCAGTGTAAATGGTAAACCACGTGTCGGACTTCACATGGAATGACAAAGTGTGGCCATTCCTTTAAAGGGACAATAAAGGCAAATGTTAAGTCGATGTTGATTGCCGAAATTACGGTTTAAAAACCTCTCAGTGCTACCTTGGTGCCAAAGAAGGGCTTATTTTGAAATAAAATTTCGGTTTAGTTGCCCGCATTGCGTTAACGCACTTTAAACGCTCCGCCTGAAAGTGGTCTGTTTCACGTCACTGTGGCCGTGCACAACGTTGCCTAGATTTACTGCGAGGACGCAGACAGTAGCAGCAGCAAAGCTAAAGTTGCGGGAGCCACAGCAGCAACAACGGCCATTGAACAATATTCTGCCATGGCCTCGGAGATGGCGGGCGTGCTTGGTTCAACTGGGGCCCACTAGATGGCATCACCTGTCCAATTTAATCAGGCGAAAATGGAACTTTTGAACCCCTCGCGCCATTCCCCATAGTAACTCCCGGTGATTCTTTCTTCTCTAAATCAAGCAGAAACGGACAAGCAGCATTTTATTACGTCCCTTGATGCGCGGAAAGTTATTTGTAGAAGCTAGTTTGATAACTAGTGATTAATTGAAGTCGGGCGCTCTCACGTAATCGGGATCATTTCCAAAACATGGCATTCATGAAGCCTGTCGTGTGGTACGTTTAGCTTAATTTCTCAGTATGTTGGACACTGCTGTTGATAATATTACCGTTTGAGTCGTTTTCATACATTAAGCTTTCCCTCTTGCATAAATTGTTGTTTGCCTTTTGTGTCCTTTAACAGCACGGTTTGCAGTGAACTTCATCCAAAACAGTCGAAGTCGATCCCATCTGTGAATGCTCGCAGTTCTACGAACTTCTGGACATGCGCTGCTGTGCATGCTACTGTATAGCTTTTACTCTCTTTGCTTCTCTCCTTATTTATTCTTTTCCTCCCATTTCCCCCTTCCACGTGTAGAGCAACCTGCTTAACCTTCCTGCCTTTCCTTTTCTGTTTTGTCTCTATCTACGTTTCAATACCGGTTTATTCCTACGGCTTTCACTTTATAAATTTAGGTGTTGTTTTTCTGTGCATTTATTTCATGTCAGCTAACCGCCTTATTATCGTTACATTTGCATGCTGACATTGCTGTTTGTTATAATAATTGTCATCGTAACAGGAAGTACTATTTCCGTTTCTAACTATGCGACATTAAATCTACATATCATTACATGAACTGTACATATAAACGAAAGTAGCACGCTTAAATACTGAAACAGGACACCATTTATTACGTACATTCGACTTAGTTATTAGACAAAGTGTTTATTAAGTTGAACAAACTGATTCCGATTTAACTGCTTACTGCTCAGAACGGTGGACTCAAAGTATCTCCATTAGATGCACTTCAAGGGAAATTACATTTAAATGTTATTTTTCTGTGCAGTTATTTCCAGTCGGCTAACCGACTTTATTATCATTAAATTTCCACGCTGACATTTCTCTTATAATAACTATAATCATAACAGGAAGCACTATTTCTCTAAAAATATTTCCAAAAATAGAATGTTAGTTGCAGGTTGCCTCCTTGTTCACTCCAGTCGAAATGGTGATTTCTCTCCGTGCGTGGTCCCGTGCAGGTTCAAAGACGGGATGATAATAAATGGCACCGAGCCCCTGCCCGATTTGTACGTGGTTCCACCGATCACTCTGTGGATACGTCGGATGCACTCAAACCTGACCGGCAGCTACACCTGTCGCGTCATCGCGAATCACCTGAAGGCCGAGTCTACGAGCGTAGTCGTCATGCAGGGAACGAAGGCGAGCGACAACTGTGGCGTCCGTAAGTAGACGGTGATTGTGGGACTATGAATGAAAGCGCAGACCAACAAAAAAAGAAGCTATGAATTTATGTTTAACTAGCACCAAAAAGGAACGATTTCAAGAGATACAAGATAAGGAAGTGATAAGTCAACCACAGTTCTTCTTATGTTCATTCGAATGCAAAGTGTGAATCACGGACGTGTATTAGCACGAAAGGTATGGGAAAAAAAAACCGCGACACGGACAAAAAGGCTGATAGACGCGTACCTGCCTCTTCGTCTGTTCTGTGGTTATTTTTTATAAACGTGTCGCCGTAACACGTGTTACAGTTATGAAACGCCAACCTGCTCAAACAGCAACAATGGCTGTGCCTCAGTGGAAGTTCTCTTGGCTTATTAGTCTACATGACCTTGTCTCTTCTAAGTACCTAGGCGATCGATGTAGTCGTAGTTCTAGTAGTACCTAATAGTATTGACAGCAATGCTATTATCTGCAGCTAGTAGTAGTAGTAGTAGTAGTAGTATAGTAGTAGTAGTAGTAGTAGTAGAGTGGTGGTGGTGGTGGTGGTGGTAGTAGTAGTAGTAGTAGTAGTAGTAGTAGTAGTAGTAGTAGTAGTAGTGGAGTAGTAGTGATCATAAGCGGGCGAGGGGGAGCCAATTGAGATCCCCCCTCCCCCCACAGCGCCTGCCGCCGTGGTGTTTCACTAAAGCGTGTCCCATGAACAATTGTCTAAGGAACACTGTAGAGTTGTTCTCTGAACAATCAACACTCATTACATTCCGCTACCGCACGCGTACCTTCCAGAATTCCGCAAGAGCCCCAAAGACCGGGAGCTTCCACAGGGTGAGACGATGGTAATGCAGTGCGCCGCCCAGGTGTCGCTGCAGCCAACGTCGGTCGTCACGATAGCATGGCTACGCAATGGCCTGCCATTTCCGACCAGCAGCCGGTACCGGGATCAGAGCAACGGGCTGGCTTACGTCAACGATGCCACGCCCAAGGACACCGCCGTCTACACTTGCGTAGCCACTGACCGCCACAGCAGGTGCAGCATCAAGAGATCCGCTCTGTACCGGGTTCTCCCCAGGATCAGTGTCGATGAAAGTGAGTTAGTTCTTCAACGATTGAAGCTACGGGAAAGATGGGGGTTTGAAGTAACGAGTTCTCCTACGATGAATGCCACCGGACAATCCAGTGTCATTTCGTGTTGGACGATTTCGCGTGATTTGTTGGGTGTCCACTGAAACACTCTTTGCGCCGTTGCTTATCAGCCGCGACGACCGACGGGGGCTGTCCGCGCACCTGCTGCGCCGATATCATGCCGATACGGCCTGCTGTGCGAGCCTATTACGAGTGACGAAAGGCTCGCACTTCTACCAACGCTTCTACAGTGGGTACCACAGCCAGCTTTGCACTTAAGTTCTGGCGGTGCAGTTTAGACATTCTTGCATGTTCTCTGACTGACTCTGCTGACAGGGTGCAGTCTGCTTTGTCCACGCCAAGGAAAGATCTAGCGCGCGATGCAACTCTGGGGGCTGTATACGAAGGGCGCTGTTTCTTTTCAGTTTGTGGTAATCCTGTTGTCAGCCGCGCCAACACAACGAGGCCACCCACGCAGCAGGGCAAGATTGTGGGCGGAGAAGACACGGTGAAGGGTGCCCATCCGTGGCAGGTGAGAGGGATGATGTTCTGTCACTCATCAGCAGGTTAACTATCAGGAGTGCAGTGGTCCAGTGCCTTAGGCACTCGGCTGCTGACCCGGAGGTCACGGGATCAAATCCCGGCTGCGGCGGCAGCATTTTCGATGGAGGCGAAAATTATGCAGGCCTGTATGCTCAGATTTGGGTGCACGTTAAAGAACCCCAGGTGGTTGAAGTTTCCGGAGCCGTCCACTACGGTGTCTCTCATATTCATATGGAAGTTTTGGGACGCTAAACTCCACATATCAATCAATAATTTATCAGAAGCGATACGGGTGTCTTCGTTGTTTAGACACTCCTAATGCTCAGTGATTGGAAACAAAAGAATCACATATTTAGGTATGAGCAGTAAGCACTAGGCTTGCTGCTCCCAGTCGGCAGTCACAGCAAAGTGAACGGATACACCAGGGATCACGGATAATTTATTCACAGCGGCTTGCGCAGCAAATATAAGCACGTAATGAGACGACAGGCGCGGAATGAGAGTCGACGAGCCAGACACATCGTCAGTCTTTGCAACAGCCTTTTCAGTCTTTAAAGGGCCCATATACCGCCCAGTGGGTCGAGGTTTAGTTGTGGTGTGGCAGATTGCGGAAGAGCCTAGATCGAACACGTGGACGCGAGAATTTTAGATGCGGAGCATCTTATACTCGCGCCTTGTAGTGCGCCGTCCGCACCGCTTCTCGAACATTCGACAGCTGACGCGCGCGCATGCGCCGTCGTGCCGTCGCCCACTCTTCCACCATCTGTGCATCCCTTCCTCCTCTACACACCGCGCGCGCTTCACTCCTCCACCATCTGTGCACCCTTCCTCCTCTACATACCGCGTTCGACATCTACCATTCTCCTGATTCTCCGTGGACGCGCATGTGGCGTCGCGCTTCGAGAACATTCAACAGCTGACAGTGCATTGCGCCGTCGTGCTGTATATATACTCAAGGTCGGCGCTCGCTCGCTCAGTTGCCGCTCGTCGGTTGGTTTGTACGGCGCGTCGACGTCCAGGTCGCGGTGAAATGAATTCCAACGAATCCACAAACACAATGATCGACGTCCCTTCGACCAGCGCGCCCTTTCGCATACTGTGTACGTGTTCACTCATTTAACACCCCCTCCTACAACCACGTTAACCAATTTAGCCATCGACCCAAGTAAGTCGCAATTTAACACCCCATTTCACAACCACGTTAACCAATTTAGCCAATCGACCCAGTAAGTCGCACTTTAACACCCCGTTAACCAATTATATGGTCCGCATCCTCCTCAGTGTTCCCCCGAGGGAAGCTGCGGGCAATTTTTTTCTAAATGGTGCTGTAATCGCGGAGTTAACACAAGTTACAGGATGTATACATGATCGAAACGCAGCAATCGCTCGTTTCTCTCTTTCCTTCGTTACTCTCCCTACGTCGGCTGGTCTCCTCTCCCAACGCCACTTTGCCCTCGATCATCGTGAGTGTTGCTCCCCTAATCGAGTGGCGTATACACAATGGCCGAGGCTCTCTTCGAAACAGCGTCCCACATCCGGTTGCCGCGACTCTCTGGCTGTGTTCCCATTCTTAGACAGCACGTAGACAGTCTATGCAGACTGCTTAGAAGACAGCACCGAGCCAACGTCTAGACAGCTTTTACGCGACGAGGCACCACCTCGCGTTGAGAAGAGAAAGCCAAAATAAACGTAACAGCTGCATTTTCTGGCTTAACTTGTGTTAAAATCTGAAAACAATTAAAACGTCACCCACATTGAGCTTCTGGTGAAGCGTCTGCTTGTGTGCAGACGACCATTCCGGCGAGATTCGGTCTATCTGAGCGATTCGCTGAGTCGCCACCTTGTTTAGACAGCAAAGTAGCTTGCATCGTATTTGTCTACGACGCGGTCTTCTCGGAGCTGTCTATTTTGCCATCTACGTGAGAATTGGAATGGGACTTAAGATGGCCGCTATCCATTCAACTGTCTATTTAGCCGTCTACGGGGAGTATTGGAACCCACCCCGCGAACTCCGTGCTTCTCGGCTAAGGGCCGTTCCCCACGCTTCCCGTACAGCCGCAACGTACCTGCCTGGACCCCTGCCGCACGCAAGCGGGGCACACATAAGCTAATTGGCGACGCTCTTTCACCCTCCGGAGCATCACCAACTGAATTATTCGTCCCCCGCTGCGTGCGGTAGGGGTCCCGGCAGGTGCGTTGCGGCTGTGCGGGAAGTGCACGCGTTTCCCGCACAGCCGCAACACACGTGCCTGGACCCCTGCCGCACGCAAGCGGGGGACAAATAAGCCAATTGGTAACGCTCTTTCACCCTCCGCAGCGTCGCCGATTGGCTTATTTGTCCCCCGCTTGCGTGCGGTAGACGTCCCGGCACGTGCGTTGCGGCTGTGCGGGAAGCGCGTGGAACAGCCCTAACCGCTGTTGCAGTGCCGACCCGTGTTCCTACGGATCGTGCCGGTGTGGATCCGGCGTAGCGCGCGCGCCTTCAAACGATCGCAAACATTGTGGACGCGAACGGTGACCCGCCGTGCCGGGGCACCTACGCTAAAGCGCGGGCTTGCCGACTAACCGGAAGTCAGAGGTTCTTGTTCGACCAATCGCAGCATCGATAGTCGATAAACTTCTAGATGCAATATCTTGACGTCGCGCGCGTTACCGGGGAAGTCGGAAGGGTACGGAGAAGAGAAGAGATTGTTTTTAAAATTTGTGGTGCACCCGCGGCTTGTAGCACTGCCACGTGTGGCATCGTTGATTGTGACGGCGTTCTTACCACGAGGCACGTGCTTGATTGAAGTGTTTGAAAAAAAAAAGACCGTATGTAGTTTAGAGTTATTTCGATGCAGTCTTTTCAGTTTTTTTCAATGCGTCGCCAGCAAAACTTTCGCCTTCACGTCGTCTTAACGCTAGCGTCAGAGGCCATCGAAGTTTTTACAATCATACCTTCTATAGTCTACGAGTTCGCTAGATTCCGTGCCGACCGGTTGTGCCCCCGCGATCTCCGACGACAGCGCAGCTTTGGCCGATCGGCTCGCCCTCCGCCATCTCTTGACGCCGTTAAGCTCTCGCTTAGTGGTACCCCGTCCTCGGACTCCTTCAACCGTGTCCTCCTTTTTCTATCTTCTCTTTACTTCTGTGTGTGGGTGTCCTTATCGCTATCCTATTCCTTTCAATCTTCCCTATTCCTTTTAATCCCTCCTTACGCCAATCCCTCGTGAGCCACTGTTGAGGTGTCGCACTATGATGCAGACAGTAACGGGGCTCACTTTTATCTTCTTTTTTTATTTTAAGAATCACTTACACATCCATGCCATCGACAGTTGAAACGCTGTTCAAGGAGTGATGCCACCCGACTAATGTTTGACTGAACATCCACCCATTCAACTGTCTATGCATACTGAGCTAGATTACCAAGTCGAATAGTGACGTTCATTTAGTAAAGGCCCTAACTGCGGTGAAACAAGGGCAGCCGAAGAAGAGAACGCACGTGGTGCATGCATGCTATCTTCCCCTCTACTGCAGTCCTTGTCTTAGTGCAGTTAAAAACCATCACAGAATGTGAAGAAAGATAAATGGCTCGCCACGCTTGTCACTCTAGGTGATGCTCTGGTCCCCGTCTTTGGAGAGGGCTTTCTGCGGAGGCACGCTGCTGAACGACCTGTGGGTCCTGTCGGCGGCGCACTGCTTCCAGCACGAGCTGGTCCAGCTGGAAGAAGTCCAAGTACGTCTGGGCAAGCACGACCGACTCGAAGCCGAACCCGAGGAGGTCACCACCAAGATCACTGACATCTACTTTCACCCGTAAGGGCGTCCGCGCTTAATGTTCATCATAATTACCGTCATTGTTACAACCACGCGTCCACTGCAAAGCGAACACATCTTTTATGCTCTCCCAATCAAACCTGTCTTGTGCTTGATGCTACCATAGTAAATCCGCAATCTTCTTCATCTCTTCGGCCCAGATAACCTTTTGCCTGCCCTTGCACACTAGTTATGCTCTTGGCATCTATTCTGTTACTATTAATAACCAGCATTTCTCTTTCTTCCTTACAAGCCCTGCCCATGCTCATTTCTTCTTGTTTCCGACTAGGATGTTCTTAAAACCCATTCGGTCCTACACCTTCTGCTCTCTTCTTGTCCCTGAAGGTACAGGTTCCAGTGTTACTGCTAAATTAGCCTTTTTATAACCAGACCGCATGCTGCGTTATAGTATTCGGCTTACTGTTTTCAAGAGCCTCGACAACAGGTCGGCAGCGTTTTCTGAGAATGTTGAAGACGCTTTGCAGGGCATCAGGGTTGCAGTCACACACGTTTCCAGCGATGATGGCGGTTCTGATATTGCATAAGGACGCTGTTTGATTTCCATTTTAAGCCCAGAAAAGCCGGGGACGAAGCTACGGCCATTGGGAGAAGCACTTCATAGCTGTCACTTTAATTTTTGCATCAATTGAGAGGTTTTGATGCCTTTCGGACCGATCCAAGAAGGGGTGAGAAGTAGGGCACTTCGATGAGATTTAATACGCTGCCTTATATGCCCTACGCATTCCTACGATAGTTGTGCGAAATGCTGGCTCTGCTACAGCTGTCAACAGATTCGGCAACCCTGCTTCTGCATACGTTCAATGTATGGTCAAACTAAAGATTTTTGCTGGTCTTAGAAATCGAGTAAGCTAGGCACCAGTCGGGGAAAAACTGAGAAAACAGCGGAGGTGGTAGCGCTCCCGTCATCCTTTTCTTATCCTTAACCTTACTTTCGATTCTCACCCCTTCCTATATACTATTCTATACATGGCTATGCTATGCTTCCCCCTCCACCTTCTTTATTTCCTTTTCCTCATCCTCGCGTCACTCCTTCTAGCCCTCACCACCAATTGCCAGCTCTTTGCAATGCTGTGGTTACTTCTCTTCTTTCCCTGTCCCCCCCACCCTCTGTTTCTCTTTCCTTCTTGCTGACCTTTTCTTCTTTTTCTCTGTATCTGTGCTACTTCACCCGCCCTTCCAGGTTATATATCATATAGAACGTCGGACAAATCGGGGAAGAGGGAGGGCAAGTGACTGGTTCATTTGCTGGGGAAGTGAAGCAAAAGCGGAACAGGTTGAAGAAAGTGCGCGCCGTTTGATTTTATTGAGTTGCACGCGATAAAAAAATAGAGGCGAACCATGACGATGACAGTTCTTGTTTATGTGAAACGGTCGAACCGCGAACTTAAAAAGCACCGCTGTTATGAAGTCAAATGAGCGGCCATGGCCTCGTCGATGCGCAGGAAGTTCAACGCAAGCACGTACGACAACGACATTGCGCTGCTGCTTCTCGCCGACCGGGTGAAGTTCACGGACTACATCCAGCCGGCGTGCCTGGGCGACCGCGCGGCCATTGAGCGCAACGAGTTCAACTCGACCGACGGTGTGCGCAAGGGCAAGGTCACCGGATGGGGTCAGCTCGCCGAGAACGGCCACACGCTGCCGCGATACTTGCAGGAGATCGAGCTGCCCATCGTGAACCAAGATGTCTGCAGAAACGCGACGAAGTACAAGGTAATTCCAACGCCACCATCGTTATCGAGTGTGTGGAAATACCCGCCGTAGACGGCTAAATGGACAGCTAACCAGACAGCGGCCATCTCAAGTGTCAATGAAATACCCACGTATCCGGTAAAGTCGACAACTTCGCGAAGACAGCATCGGAGACAAATTTGATGTAGGCTACTTTGCTGCCATATTGGCTACTTTGCTGCCCAAACAATATGGCAGCAACGCAGACTGCTCAGATTGCCCGGATCTCCCTCAGATTTGGGCGCACGTTAAAGAACCCCAGGTGGTCGAAATTTCTGGAGCCCTCCACTATGGCGTCTCTCATAATCATAAGGTGGTTTTGGGACGTTAAACCCCACATATCAATCAATCAATCAATCAATCAATCAATCAATTGCCCGGATCTGGCCGGTTATTGCTATCCCAACAGGAGCAGATGCTTGTCTACAAACTAATTGTAAGCTACGCTAAATTATGAACCCACAAGAAGTTAAGAAAATAATACTTATGTTTGTTTTTCTAAACTTTCTCTTGAGACATCAGGTGGCGCCAGGTCCCACAGACGTCCTCCAGACGCGTTCCATTGCTGAGTCGCGATCGATGCTGCCTTCTAAGCTCTCAATGTGGCTGTCTACGATTCTGTCCAGAAGTAAAATATCCTGCATTCCACACCTGCCAAAACCGTCGTCATCATCACCATAGTTTGTGGTGTGGACATCATAGTTTCATACTCGTGCGCTAGAGGGAAATCTGGCGCTAGTGTCTACGGAAGCTGGGATGTATGGCGTTTCGGCCAGCATTTCATGGATGCGCCTAAGCTTAGTTCTTCCGGCTCAGTATGGCTGGCAACCTTTTTGTCGCAAGACTACGTTTAGCAAAGGTGTAGTGGTAGCATCTCACCACCTTCATAACGTTTCACCACAGCAGCATTTCACCACCTTCGCCAGCTGACCAGTTCCAATCTGCTCACGAGGTTCCCACCAAGCGATCTCTGTTTAAGGCGAAACGAAAGTCGAAATCAGATTCAATAAACGAAGCCGTTCGAAGACGCAAGCACTAAGACTAGACAAATCCGTAGACTAGCTGACCACCATTCGCTAAGTGAAAGAACAATCGCAGCGCCGCAGTTTCCTTGTGTAAATACTCTAGGAAATTCTATGGTGGATGAAACACGTAACCTCATCACAAGTCTTTTATGGATTTCTGATGAAATTACGTAACTTCTTTATAATGGGCTTTCTGACAGTGAACTATCGTGTATTTTCTCAGTAAATTTTCCAAATAGTTTAAAAACACTGACTTATAGTGCACCACAACTCATCGTATAATGTGCTAGTGGGGACATAATAACACGTTTCATATGCACTTTGTGCAGCCACATCATGATACGATACCGAAGGCAAAGGGGGACGTTCCTCCTCTTCTGAGCAAACTAGCTCAGGCCGACCCCTCTGCCTTCGAATATATTCTCTCCCACTTTCTCTCTAAAAGCCTATCATTCGAAAAAAGAATTGACCACTGGCCCGCCATGCTTACTGATAACAACAAGTCTCACGCCATAGTTATCTGCCGATAAGGGTTCTAATCTCTGACGGTTTTGATCAAACACACTGAAATCTCGAAAGGACAGGAAATTGGAACAGCTCGCTATACGTTTATTAAGATTACTCATTTAATGTGACAAGTTTCAGCATTAATTTCCTGCCGAGGATCCTTGGTAGTATTGTCCCGAACTTCAGTCATTTTTCGTACTTTAGTCAATTGGCTCGACGGAACGTTCTCTAGATTGATAAGTTAAGTCTCTCACACCTTCACATGATAATGTATACTTCATGTTTTATGGATTAGGGAACTACGCAGGCCCTTGTAGACGACATGAAAATCTACGATATCATGACAACTGGTGTGAGAGTGACAAGAACACGTCATCAACCGCACTTTCTTTTTGCCAATTCGTAGCTTGCCAAGCGCCTTCTAGCAGCAAACATGGCAGCCTTGCAATCGTGAAAGAATAATTTACTAATTTGAGTAAATCGTTCGTCTCTTTAGTGTCTGTTTAACAAACACGTGAACGAACGTTAAATTACCAGCAGGGAGGAATGAAGAGTTTGTATGAAGCATAGTGCGATGAGAAAGAAAGAAAGAAAGTGAGATAGAAGGAAAGAAAGGGCTTGCCACGCGCGAACACGCTAAGCTGCCCTTGTCCCTAATCTCCCGATAAGACAAGAAGCCTTAACTTTTTCTTCGTATTGTTTTGCAGGTCACAGACAATATGTTCTGCGCGGGATACGCGCAGGAGATCGTGGGCGATGCCTGCCAGGGAGACAGTGGAAGTCCCTTCGTGGTGTGGCGCAAGAATCGCTGGTACGTCGTCGGCATTGTCAGCTGGGGCGTGGGATGCGGTCGCAAGGGCAACTACGGATACTACACCAAGGTCACCAACTATCACGACTGGATCAGAGAGAAAATCATGTACTAGCTGGCAGACCTTCATAGTCCGTCCTGCGCTCTGAGAAGCGGCCGAACGCATCTTCTGGATCATGAAGTAACGGTTACGCAGACAAGTTCGAGTAATGGCTTCCTAAGTGATGCAAATAAACCGGTGTTCTATTTGTGTTTGTAATATATGAAGTCTACAGGAAAATGATCACCGTAAGAGTCGGCGATCCGACGCCTGTAAGGTAGAGGAGGACAACTAGTGATCTTCATCGGGCTTTCACGTAAAAATAAAATAAAATAATTAAATCCACGCATCTCCACAAAGTGAATCATGAGGAGCGGGCGATGCTGTGGGTATCGCATCCGTGAGTAACCGCACGATATCAGAGCGTCACCCAATCCCACGTAAACTGATTGGTATAAATTATATTTAGAAATGTAAATTACTCGTTCGTGCAACTGAACTTATTTGTTTGCCTCTTTAATGCTATTCGAATCACTGCGTATAATGATGTTTAAGTCACCGGGTAGTATAATGGGCCCTTGTAGGTCGGTGCTTTCTGTTGTTTTATGATTGCTATTCATCTATCGTGAACCTTTATTAATTATTATCATACACACACACATATATGCAACGGTTTCATATGCCATGACAGTGGGCAGTGAGAGTAGATGACAAAGCTAGGTCCTAAGATATAATTACATAAATATATAACATTGGTACTTGGTGCGTCTGATAATTCTAGGAGCTTGCTCCTTTTGCTTGCGGTTGGTCCTACGGCGGCTGCCGGCGTGTACACCAGTGTTGCCAGTGTGTACACTTCTGCGGTCGCCCCTCAAGGCCACCTCTCCGGTGATTCCGAGAATGCTCACTCGATGGCACGCCACCACCGAAGACGCATCGGGATAGTTTTTCTTTTTTCGTCCAATATTTCTTTTCTGTTTTTTTTCCACGTCTGTGTGCTAGGTTGTCATTACAACTGAAGTACACCCACACGTTAAAAAGGTAACAGCAAGCTGGCAGAGCGAGGACGATCTTCGCGACTACGTCCACTTCGTTCTCGTCACTTCGCAGGCGCGGCAGCACGCGACAAGTTCCTGCGATGAGTGTTACGCACGTGTACCGATGTCGTCCCAAGCCGCCCCCTCTTCTTCAAGCCCGTCGATGAACGTCTGATAGCTCCAAGTATACCACTTATGTGCGTTGGGGCATTTGACTCCCGACAGCGACCAGTATAGCATAAAGGGGCAGGCGGTTAACGTGCCGATCGACGTGGCCAGCGCTGTGCAGTGCCAGTCGCGGAACGTGCTCAAGAACGTTGTCTTCTACTTACACATAATGTACCGGCTCTTAACAAGCGTTCCACCAAGGTCTCGCTAAGAAACGTACCGTGCACCTCCGGGCAAGCTCCTCTAACACGACGACAGTTATAGCGCGAGAACAGAATGACGACAAAGGGACACACTTTGTCGCCAACCACATCGTCAACCCTCACCCAAACTCCTTTAAAACCATTCACTTTGTGGATATGGCGGTGATATTTATGGCGAAGCTCCTTAGAATGTGGGTCGTTCCCTCCTCGGTATGTATGTATGTATGTATGTATGTATGTATGTATGTATGTATGTATGTATGTATGTATGTATGTATGTATGTATGTATGTATGTATGTATTATGTATGTATGTATGTATGTATGTATGTATGTATGTATGTATGTATGTATGTATGTATGTATGTATGTATGTAGTATGTATGTATGTATGTATGTATGTATGTATGTATGTATGTATGTATGTATGTATGTATGTATGTATGTATGTATGTATGTATGGATGGATGGATGTATGTATGTATTGTTACGAGCCGCGTCGGTGGCCGCAGCGGACCCAGTAGGTAGCATGGAGCTGGGTTGTGGTCGTCATTCCGCAGGCCACGTGGACGTTCAGAACTCTCGAGAGCTGAGGCAGAGGGACAGGCGTAAAGGAAAACTTAACAAGACGTTTATTTGCAACATGTTGGACAGTAACGTCCGAACGACGACTCTTCTCGCGACACTCTCCTGTTTTCTTCTGGCGGGCTGCTCCCACTGCCTCGCCGTGCAGTTCCGAAGATATAGGCGGAATGTCTCTTCGGGGAACCAACCACTCATGGAGAGCACAACACAAGTGTCCCTTCACACACGTGGCAGATGCACGTGGCACACGCGCGGGGACTCGGAAGCGACCACGCAGGAGAAATTCACGGCAGTCCCTCCTGTAGCACACAACCGGCCTTCCGCACATTCCAGATGGGCCCGCCCGTAGCCACTGCCCCGCAGGCAAAGCGCACAGCCGAGACAAACAGAGCTGGTGCAGGTGACAACCCGCCCCCACACAGAATGTCCGAGATGACGGGAAGGCACGCTTGGGGGCATCCGGCCCAAGGACTTCGTTACTGCTTTGTAATAGCTTCCCCGGCGGCCGGCCGAGACCTCGACGTACGAAGGTCATCCACCTTTGTGGGGAGAGGTCGATGAAGACAATGCTGGTGTGCTGAAGCCGTGGACACCTCGATGCGGCTCTGCTGCAATCCTCTGGCACCCTGGTGATCTGCAGCCTCTGGTAGCGTCGTCCAAAATTGGAGAAAGGCTCCCGCTCTGCTGGCCAACATTCCTTCTCGAAAGACAGCACATGTGTCCACCACGCGAGAAACACAACTGCCAAGCAGGCAAGCGCCCATACTTTCTTCCTGAGACCCACCAGGCTTTTAATTCATCCAAAACGACCTGTTCTTCATTACAATAGCAGCAGCAATTCTAACAACCCAACCTGAAATAGGCTGCTCAAATTCACAAACACATGTCGTGATAAAGCACAAATACAAAAAAGCAATTGTAAACCTGTCACACACACAAAAAAAATGGAACCTAAATACCCAAGCCAGATTACCTGACGCCATCAAGATCCCTAGAAACAACGACTTAAGCCGTCAGCGTTGCCATTCAATTTGCCTCTCTTGTAACGAATTTCGAAAGAGTATTGTTGCAATAGCAAGCTCCAGCGAAGTAGCCGGCCGTTCTTAGGCGACATCGTTTGCAACCACGTGAGGGGACAGTGGTCCGTCTCGATAATAAACTCTGATCCCGCGAGATAGCATGCGAGCTTCTGAACCGCCCATACAACACAGGCGCATTCTTTCTCTGAAGCGCTATAGGCTTCCTCCCTTACAGTTAGTTTGCGGCTTGCATATAGCACGGGATGTTCCTCTCCTGCGTCGTTTCTCTGACACAATACTACGCCCATGCCGCGGTCACTTGCATCGCACTCAACCACGAAGGGTCTAGCGTAGTCGGGGGCTTCAAGTACAGGTTGGCTCATGAGCGCATTTTTCAGCGCTAAGAATGCCCTCGCTTTCTTCTCATCCCACTCCAGAATTTGAGGTTCGGTTTTTCTAAGAGCGTCAGTAAGCGGGCTGGCAAGCTCTGAATAACGCGGAATGTAATGCTGGTAGTATCCTGCCAATCCTAGGAACGACCTCACATCTGTCTTTGTCCGGGGCTGCGGAAAATTATTAACTGCCGCCACTTTGACATCAGCAGGTCTGCGGTGGCCTTGCCCTACTATGTGACCCAGGTAAGTAACCTCTGCTCGGCCAAGTTGGCACTTCCTAGCCTTCACGGTCAGACCTGCTTCGCGGAAACGTTGAAGCACTGCTCGCAAGTGAGTGAGATGTTCGGACCATGACCCTGAAAATACTGCTACATCATCCAGATAAGGCAGGGCAAACCCCTCTAAACCCCGCAATACCTTGTCCATGAGAGCCGAGAAACAGTAGGGGGCATTCTTTAAGCCGAAGCTCAACACCTTAGGGCGGTATGTTCCTATGGGAGAAATAAACGCCGCATATCTGCTGGCCCTTTCGGTCAAAGGCACCTGCCAATAACCCCGAACGAGGTCGAAGGTAGAGATGTACTTAGCACTGCTTACTGCCTCAATTCTTTCTTCTATATTTGGTATGGGGTAGGTCTGATCCTTCGTTATGTGATTTAACCTCCGGTAATCAACGCATGGTCGCGGATCTTTCCCAGGAACCTCCACTAATATAAGCGGAGAGGTATAATCGCTTTCACAAGCTTCAATCACATCGAGCTCGTGCATTGTTTTAATCTCGGTCTCAATAATGGCACGCTGACGCGGCGACACTCGATACGCCTTTGACCGCACGGGCTGAGTGGCCATAAGCTCTATGTCATGCACTACCAAATTTGTTCGGCCCGGTTTCTCCGAGAACATGTCCGTTTGACCAGCGTTATCCTCCTTTATTTCCGCTCCCGAAAAGGGGAAATCTAGTGGTGGCTCTTCGGGCACGTTTACCGCCATGTTTACGACAACCTCTCGATACGGTTTGAGCAGATTGCTGTGGTAGATCTGCTGCGTCTTACGTCTACCTGGCATCCTTACCAGATAGTTTGTGTCGGACAGCCTTTGAACGACTTCCGCCGGACCTTCCCATTGGACATCTAGCTTATTCATTGGTGAAGGTTTCAGCCGCATTACTTGATCTCCAGCTTCAAACCGGCGTGATCTTGCCGACCTGTCGTAGTAGCGTTTTGCCCGAGCCTGTGCCTTGCTCATCTCATCCCTTGCCAGCTCCTGTGCTCTATGCAACCTTTCTAGCAGAGTTAGCACATATTCAACCACCGTAGGGTCCTCCGCTCGCCCTTCCCATGACTCCCGAAGAATACGGAGTGAGGATCGCAGAGAGCGACCGTAGACCAATTCTGCCGGGGTAAATCCAGTGGCTTCATGAGGTGCAGTCCTGAGCGCAAACATGGTTGCTGGCAAGCACACATCCCAGTCGACTTTGCGCTCGAAACAGAGTGCTCGAAGGACGTGTTTCATTACCGAGTGTAACTTTTCTACTGGGTTTGACTGGGGGTGGTACACCGAGCTGTGGATTAATCGGATTCCACATTTCTCTAAGAAAGTTGTAGTCAGTGCACTCGTAAAAACGGTCCCTTGATCGGACTGTATTTCAGCGGGAAAACCAACGCGTGCAAAAATAGACAACAGCGCGTTTACCACTTCTACCGAGCTCAGTTCCTTTAAAGGCACTGCCTCAGGAAACTTGGTCGCGGGACAAATTACTGTTAAGACATGACGGTAACCGGATGTTGTTGTTGGAAGAGGCCCTACTGTGTCGATC